ACCCCTGTGTTCATAGCAGCACAATTTATTATAATAGCTAAGTTTGGAAACAGCCTAAAGGTCCATCAGCAGATGAGTGGGTTAGAAAACTATGGAACATCTACACAATGGAATACTACACTGCTGTAAAAAGGAAGAAACTCCTACCAGTTGAAACAGCATGGATGGACCTGGAGAGCATTATGCTAAGCGAAATAAATCAGTCAGAGAGAGATAAATATCACATGATCTCACTCATTTGTGGAATATAATGAACAACATAAACTGATGAGCAAAAACAGACCCAGAGACAGAGGAGCATCGAAAGGTAGGGGAGGGTGGGGACAAGGGGGAGAGATCAACCAAAGGACTTGTATATATGCATATATAATAAGCATAACCAATGGACATAGACACCACAGGGGTGAGGCATGAGCAGGGGGGAGGGGGATCTTGAGGGGATAAGGACACATATGTATCAATAAAGAAATTTTTTTTAAAGAAAAAAAGAATGAATATATACCTTGCATCTTGCTTCCTCAAAAAGATCTACTAAAACCACATTAAAGATACTTTTAAAAATAATAAATCCACAAGAACAGGGAAGACAAAAAAGATACAAGAGAAACAAATTTTGAAAGCTCAAGAGAAAATGGACAAGGGGTTCTGACTGAGCAGAAATCTGAGTCCTAAAGCAGCAAGGGAGGCCTGGGGGAGAGCTGTTTGAGAAGCAGTTAGAACTCCAGGCTCCAACTGCACTCCACACTGCTGGGTTGTTGCCAGCAGAGAGCTAGAAATTAATTCACTGAAAGGGTAAAAGAGAAAATCCTTGATCAACAACACGGTTCAGTGACCATACACAATGAAGTATTAATATTGATGTCCAAGTCAATTGCCCTGCTGGCTACAGGAACACAGCCCCAGCCCTTCACTTTTCAGATGGGAGAGAGATTTCTCTGGGGAATCTGACTAACCCACACAGAAAGACTAAAATACTGACACCTAGATCCCTCCAGTGAAATTCCAAGTCTATAAGTCTTACTCACAGGCCCAAAAAGCCTCATCTCTTAATTGTGAGGAGAAAACCAAGGATTAATTTCTGAACACTTGATGGAAACCCTTAGCATGGAAGATACATAACTACAAATAAATAATACAAACAGAAACAGGAGAGCATTCTTGGACAAAATAAGAGACTGTATGTGTGGAAGAAAAAAATAAAGAAAAACAAACTATCAGTGTAACATCTCCAGATAGGTAAAAGAAGATATTGCAGTCATAAAATCAAATAGTGGATCTTATAAAAACAGAAGGATTTAGAAAACAAAAATTGAACTCAATAGTAGGGTTGGAGAAATAGAGAACAAAGTAGATAGTAAAGACAAAAATAAAATAGAAATGATAAGACAATTAAAGGACGAGGGGAAGCAATACAATATCCAAATAAAAACTTTCCATAAAGGGAGAACAGAGGAAATGGAAGGTATAAATCATCAATGAAATAAATCAAGGACACTGCCCTGAACGGATGGGTAGGAGTTTCTAGACTGAAAGGGTTCACTAAGAATCTGGCCCAGCTGACTTGCATAGCACTTACCATTCGTGCATCAGTTACCCTTCTAATTTTACATGCATTAACTTATTTAATCATCACATAACCCTATAAATTTTATTTTGGTGCCTTTATAATTATTACTCCCATTTTACAGATAAAGAAACTAACTGATGTACAAAATGTGCCCAAGATCCTTAAGAGGAAGGTCCAGGATTTGAAGGCAGGTAATGTATGCCCAGAGCCTACTACACAATACACAGGAGAGAGCACCATTGAAATTTCAGAGTATACCAAAGATAGCTCTAGCTTATTTTTTAAAGTGCACTCAAAGCCCAGGTTCTGATCAATCATTTGAGGTGAACCCCATGAAGGTTTCCTTCTCTTCAATATCCTGTCCTAAAAATTCCAGTGCTATCAAATTCCCATCTCCAGACTTAATAAGAACACTGCTCTGCACTTGGGTTCACCTGTCTATACCACAGCCAGAAAAACTTTTCTTGGTGAGTCAGGGGAGAATGTGATGTTCACCTCCTATCTCAAGGAGCACAGAGCCTCACTGGTTGCTGTCCAACACTTGACAACAGTCACCTAATATCCAGTTCTGCAATTGTTCTTGATAGGATAGTAAGTCTGCAACCAGCCCTTTTATACCCACATTTTTATTTGACCCTCACATTTAAATAATTATGGGATCAAAATTATTTTCCTTCAATACTTTAATGTTATGCTCTTTTTTGTTAAATATATTTTATTGATTTTTTACAGAGAGGAAGGGAGAGAGATAGAGAGCTAGAAACGTCGATGAAAGAGAAACATCATCGACCAGCTGCCTCCTGCACACCCCCCACCGGGGAAGCGCCCGCAACCAATGTACATGCCCTTGACCGGAATCGAACCTGGGACCGTTCAGACCACAGACCGATGCTCTACCACTGAGCCAAACCGGTTTTGGCTAATGTTATGCTCTTATATCCAGTATTGCTGTTGGGATTTTAATGTCAACTTGATTTTTATTATTTTGTCTACATTTTCTGCTGTTTCCTTTATTTCCATAAATAATAAAGCTTTAATCTTTTGTTCCATTAGTTTTAAATTCCTGTTCCATTTGCTACATCTGGTCTGCTTCCTCTCGTGTTGGTTGCCTATATTTCATTCTTCATGATGCTTTTGTTCTTTAGATGTGTTATGAGTTTTTCAATTGAGACTTAATCCGTGTTACTCCTAAAACTATCAGTTGCCTCTGCTTTTGATGACTATATAGGTAGTCCATTGGAAAGGGAGGTTAGCCTAGCCAGTGTGCTCAGTGGTTAAGCATCGACCTATGTACCAGGAGGTCATGGTTCGATTACTGGTCAGGGTACATGTCTGGATTGTGGGCTTGATCTTTGGTGTAGGGCATGCAGAAGGTAGCCAATCAATGATTCTCTCTCATCATTGATATTTCTATCTCTCTCTTCCTTTCCCTTCCTCTCTGAAATCAATAATAATAAATTTTAAAACAAGAAAAGAGAGGCTGAATTGGTGTCTTCACTGTGAGTAAGGGAAATACGGGTTGAGTGCCTCTACTGCAGTTTGCTTGCTTAACTGCACTTATTTTCCCTGCCATTTCTTTCTTCTTAAAATGCACAGCCCAGTTCTTCAGTATCTTAGACTGCTTTCTCTAACTAGAGTTGGGAAAGACAAGCCAGGGTCCCACTGGCTATCTGTGGCTGGCATTATAGATCTCAATGCTGATATCAGAGTTTTAGGGAGGGAGGTTGTTGACATCAAATTCTTTATTATGTATTATAGAACCTTGACTATCTCATTTTCTGCCGTGGACTAAAAACAGCAGTCACAGTCCATGCAAAAATCCAACTTTGAGCATATGATCCAAGTTTGCAAACACAACAGATTAAGAGTCTTTCAGATCTAAGCCTGACCCAGTGCGATCACGGCTCCCACCCTGGACTGGACCAAGACTCCAGTTAGAGACTTCATCTTTTCCCTTCTCCCTTCTCTGCTCCTACCATCCCCAGCCTTCTCCTGCTCTAGCCCTTTATTTTCTTGTGAGTTTCTCAGAGTTTTGATACAGTTGTTAAAGTCTGCCTTTGCTGGAAATCCCAGACTTCATGTAGAGGGAGCCAGCAGGATGCTTTTGGCCCATCGCCTTGATGGAAACCCAAAGCCCATTCTCCTCAAGGATCATACTGGGGATACTCTTTGTGGACCTTCCAGCTCACGTAGAGATGCTGCATGCTGTGAGGGATGCAGGCCAGCCAGCCTTGCTGGAACAATCGGAGTTAGAACCCACAGGGCTAGAATATCTGCCCAGAATTACTACAGGTGACTGTGAAATGAGGTGAGACTCCCCAACTCTCCTCACCTCAGGCAGACTCAGCAAATTAGCTTAGTTCTAATGCCAGACAGTTTTCAAAGTAAGAAAGCACATTTAAATTGCTGTTAACAATGACACACACTCATACCTTCATAATGCAAAATTCAATACTTAGAATTTTGCCATGCTTGGAAGTACCTGTATTTCTACATCATTTATCTCTATGTCATATAGAAATTATAAAAGTTTGTATTCTTTAAGTAGGTGAGTGGAAAAGGAATCTCTTTTCTGTAGTAACAAGTCATGTCACCCCCAACATAAATTTTATTTCTTTTATTGGCAAAGTTACTAATCTTGTGCTCTATTATAAATTCTCATTATTCACAGTAATGTTCTATAAAGTCACTACAAACACTGAATTAGCAAATGCTGAACCATTACAGAAATATGGAGTTAGATACTTAGAGTCTCTGGTTATAATATTTTCATCAACCAATCAATATGTAACTAGTTTAAAGACACCTTATTTAATATATATTGTTGATTCATTAGCATCAGACTTACAGGCAACAGCATTATAACTCATGCCTGAAGGAAGCTTAATTTAGCACACTTATTTTTTTCCACATCACAGCCTATTGTGCTCAGATATATCAGACAGCACTTTAGCACCATACAGTACTTGGGAGCCATTTCAAACAGCAAATTCATCAATTAAAAAGAAAACACTACATAGACTTTGAGAAGGACACTTGCATACAGTACTTGATCTGAAACAAGAGGCTGTTTCAACTTAAACTGGGAATGTATGCATTAGGTGGCTCAAATTTTTCACCACACTATATATGTTCACGAATGACAGAAACAACACTCCAAGTATTGATTTGGGGGTTATAAATAATTTTTTAGTAAATGAATTTGCAAATATGGAATCTATAAATAAGATGGGTTGACTATTATTTATTAACATTATGCACATTGATGAAAAATAACATTTTGTTAAAGGAAAGAAGTCTGAAAGCTGCCATATAAAGGGCCTTTTGTTGATTTTGGTTGGCCCCTCACACCTTCACCCCTGCAAACAAACCTCCTTAATCACTAAGATACATTTTGTGCAATCTGCAGCAGTTTAAGGACTATTATACTTACATTTTGCGCCAATCTGGTGGGTGCCTAGTAAAGAGAGCTCCAAAGCCTGTCAGAGGCAATCCAGTGTCCCTGTCAGAGGCAATATTGAAACAAAATAACAATTTTAGAAGCATGTCACACTGACATTTATAAACTATCAAAGCCATAGAAAACTGACTTGGGGCTAAATTTTTATGATAATTATTTTTAAAGGATATTCATATTTACAACTTTATGCACTTTGCAAAATAAAATGTCCCAATGTGTAAATGAAAATGTCAGTATTCCATCATTACTTTGACTACACTTTCCAATAATCTATACTAATAAAAGGGTATTGTGCAAATTAGACTGGGTTGACAGGCCATTTTCCGGATGTCCGACTTCCTGTGGACAAAGCCATGGTGGTGGGGGCTGAGGCAGATGCAGTTAGGAGCAATCAAGCTGGGCAGGGGAGGGAAGTTGGGGGTGAGATCAGGCCAGCAGGGGAGGACAATTAGAGGTGATCAGGCGGGCAGGTAGAGGGGTTAGGGACAATCAGACAGGCAGGCAAGGCAGTTAGGGGCAATCAGGCAGGCAGAAGGTGAGCGGTTAGGATCCAGCAGTCACAGATTGTGAGAGGGATGTCCGACTGGAGAGAGTGCAGGCTGGTCTGAGGGAATCCCCTACCGCTGTGCACAAATTTCATGCACTGGGCCACTAGTTGCAATATAAGAGAAAGTCTATATCTCACACTTCCCTGAGAAGGTACTCTGCCAGGTTGCAGGACTACAGATATAACTAAGAAACAGTTCCTACCCTCAAAAGTCTGTCTATCTCAGAGAAACATACCTACATATAAATAATTAGAATGTAAGTCCAACTGGTTTATAAAACACACACACAAAAAAATACTCAAAGGGCAAGGAGGTAAAAGCAATTCTGTTTAATAACAGTTTAGCTAATTCTTAATGTAACTCAGGCAATATTTCTATGCACATTTCATACTTTATTTCATCTAAACTTCAGAAAAACTCTATGAAGTAGACACTTTTATGATTCCCGTGTTATGTTATAGTGAACAAACTGAAGGTTACAGACACCAAATAACTTTCACAAATAAACCATGATTCTGGGGTTCAAAGCTAATTAGATGCTTTAACAGAAACACACACACACACACACACACACACACGTAAGCATTACATTTTAGCTAGACCCAGAATGAGTAGTGCTGATTGGCAAACTGGGGAAAGGGAATTCCAAACAGAAGGAATGGCATAGGCAGACAGCATGGAGGTATGAAATGTGTTCCTGTGCTTAAAGTGTTCCTGTAGTGTGTAGACCTCTTCAGAACCTCCATAATCCTATTCCATAATCAAAGAAAAATAGTAAAAATACCTTTCAACAATCCCAGACAATAATGTTTCCTCATTCAATAAAGCTTTGCTTTTTATTTGAGCCAATTCTGTGTTTAAAAAAACTCGTGCCATTTGTTCATGTGTTTCTGAGATCCAAATCTGAAAAAAAGAAGGAAAAAAAAAGCCAAATGTAATAAAAATGTATTAATTGTAAAAATAATCAGTTATTAAAATATATTTTTGTTGAAGTAGACTTTGATTATAATTATTGACTCAATTGACATTTAAAAATAAGTGATATCTTATAGCAGCTATTTCATCACAAAGATGTAAAAGTAGCCATTTCTTGCTCTAAGTTGTTGGAAAATAAAAATCAAATTATAATAGTTTTTTTTCTATTAAATAAAAAGTTCTGCATTCAACTAAATATTAATATATCTACTTTTTATTTCCTTCTCAAGGTTAATATATTTTATTTCCTTAAGTAAGAAATTATTTCTAGCAATCACTTTATAAATTGAATCCTACTGATGATAAAGCAAACTTTATGCCCAGCCACTGTGGGCCGGGCCTGCTTGGAGACCCTCCGCAGCTGGGCCAGAACCCTTGCCCTGGTCCTCCGCAGCCAGGCCACAGTGCTTGCCTCATTGCTGGAGTGACAATGCAAGTGTTCCCTCACTCCCGCCGCTCTGCACCCAGCCTGCCCAGGGGCCCTTCAGATATAATCTTCATCATCGCCATCATCATTGCTATCATCATCATCATCATCCATTTTCTATCACAGGGAGTAATTCAATGAATTAGCAAGCAATTATTACTATGAGGAAAATCTGCAGACTGTAAGATGTACACAAACCAATTGCAGATGCAACATGGGTAACATTTAGGGGATCTTGGAAACAAAAACAGACAGTGAGGATTGAATATTTTCACACAAAACTCTAGAATATCACAAATGTATAAGTTCACAGCAGAGCCAAAACCAGTTTGGCTCAGTGAATAGAGCATCGGTCTGCGGACTGAAAGGTCCCAGGTTCGATTCCAGTCAAGGGCATATACCTTGGTTGCGGGCACATCCCTAGTAAGGGATGTGCAAGAGGCAGCTGATAGATGATTCTCTCTCATTGATGTTTCTAACTCTTTATCCCTCTCTCTTCCTCTCTGTAAAAAAATCAATAAAATATTTTTTTTTTTAAAAAGAAGTTCACAGCAGAGAACCAGAACTCACCATCACCACTAGAACCCATTATTGTTCCTGATCCTAAAAGCTAGGTTTCCCAACTTATTCAATGAAGCCCCAGATCACATTAATCCTATTAGATTTTGTTTATAAAAATAAATAAATAAATAAATAAAAGAGAGAGAGAGAGAGAGAGAGAGAGAGAGAGAGAGAGAGAGAGAGAGAAACCTAATCCTATACCGTCTTAATATGAAAGATCACTTTGACCTAGAAATGTTCATAACCTGACATAAGGGTGGGTAATTTATAAAAGCACTTCCATATGTTTAAAAGACTTGGGTTTTATATATATATATTACAAACTGGAGATTGGCAATTTGGTATGTGAAACAGCTAAATTAACACAGCACAAACCCACAGGATGATCATTAAAATTTCCATTTAATTTGCATAGTAAAGTCTCACTTGAGTCAAATGGTAATGTAAAAAATATCTAATGTGTATGCAGGAAGTTCACTTCATAATATCGTGCTTATTCTTTGTTTTCTTGAGTAACAATTTTTTTTTTAGTCCTCACTTCTAATCTTCCAAGATAAACTCTCTTCCCCTATGTGCTGCATTTAAGAAAACCCAGTAGACATATAACCTTATGGCTGATATGGGAAACATGCAAGTCACTTAGAACTTACACTCAAATTCCACATTTGAGGGTATCCAGCTTCTTCCTGCTGAGGATGACTTATTCCCTGGCAGAATCTCTCTTATAATAATTGTTTTAGATGATTGGCATTTGGGCTTCTTACAGGATCCCCAGAAAGCATACCCCTCTGACCCATAGAGAAGGAAGTGCAGGTACTTCCCAAATCAGTTTTCCTCTCTGATGCCACAGGCTGCATCAGAAATGAGTCAGATTTCAGTCCACCAAGTCCTCCACTGTCAGGAAACACTGATCAAGTCCCCTGACTAGTGTCCTTGAGGCCTTACTCAAAGGCTTTGAAATGAATGGGGCATACTTATTACCCCTACCCCTTGGGGACAACAGGTATGAGACTCAGCATGCACACTTTCTTCAAATGATTCCTCCAAGTTCCAAATACTCTCGGCCTTTTTTAAATCTTTTAAATCTTTTTTTTTTTTTTTTTTTTTTATCTTCAAGGTGGATGAGAGGCCAAGGGGCTAAAAATCAGTTGCTGCCCAAATGCTTTGCCTATTCTGCATGAGTGATTCAGCACCTCACTTTGTAATGAAGGAGTTGGCATTCATTATCTTAGATCTTTAATCACAAATGAATAAGTCTTATTTTACCCTGTTAAACAGCACTCCCCTACCAACTGTACCTTTTCTGCACCACGACCAAAAATGTCACTATCATCAACAAGTAAGCAATGAGACTTTGTCAAATCTTTATCTTTAAAAAGCATCCAAAAGGCTGCTCTTATTTCTCAGCAGCAGTTTTGCCCTTAGAAATGCTGGCTGTCTTCACGTCTGGGTGAATTCAGTAGTGCGGTACACTGACTACTTAAAGGGTCCCAGCGGAGCAGAGAGGACCCAGCCCATTACTATTTTGTGTAACTGGGACTCATAGGGTACAATCAGAAAAAAAAAATTTCATTGTGTGGGTTTTTTTTTTTTCCCCCACTGCCTGTTTATGCTAGCCTGTTCTGAAAAGAAATAAATCTTGGACAAGTGCCATGTTTTATTTTGATCACTCTCAGACATCAAAACAGTCTTGTCACAACAGTGGTCTCAGTTAAGTAATTAATATTAGTAAAGTTACCCCATGAGAGCTTTTTAGCTGTCCAGTTGTCTGAGAAAAGGAAGGAAGAGCAGAAAAATGAAGAAATAGAAAACCAATTAACCCTGCCCTGCGCACATACTTGCCTCTGTAGACCTCTAAATGGTGGAAGGGAAAGGATTTAAATTTAAATGAAATTCATAATTTTGATTATATATTTTAATTATTGAAATGTGACCAATAGACATAAAAATGGACCATAAAAATGATGGAAACTGCACATATTTTATCCAAGGAGTGAGAAAAAACTAACTCCACAAAGTAGGATAAATAGATAGTAGGGGTGTGTGTGTGTGTGTGTGTGTGTGTGTGCGCGCGCGCGCGCGCATTTTTAGCTCCATTTGTTCTTGCTTAAGCAAATTAATATACATGAAAAATTAAATTCAAGTTTCTCTAAAGTTAAATTTGGGCCTTATTTTTGATACAGAAGAAGAGTTGTGAAGGAGAGTGATGGCATAAAAATGGTGGACACCTACTTTCATTCCTGTCCCAAACCCCTAGGAATGGCAGAGAAGATATTTGCTAGAATAAACCCATAGCTGCAGCAGACAACAAGGAAGGTACACATAACGGGCCAAAATTGATACAGAATTCCTGAATTAGTAAAGGTAGATTCAACTGTGCCAAACAATACTAGCGAAGACAATCCAAAGTACTTCCAGGTTAATAAGGTGGAATCAATGGCATCAATTCCACACTCAGAGATAACAGAGACAGGAAGCATGACAGGACTCAACAACCCACTACCTCCAAACAACTTCCTTTTTCCTGATTTAAGTTTTTCTTTCACAGTGACATTTAAAATCATTCCATTTATAAGAATTTCATCTATATGCCTCTTTCAGGTACTTAGATCCGAAAACAAGCATCTCTAAGACTATGTGATCAAAGCACCATTCTACTGTGTCAAACAAAGAAAAATATACCTGAGCCAATTAAATAAATGATAATTGAATTTCTCAGATTCAGTGTAATTATATATCACTTTATGTTCTTTTTAGGGTCATTAATTTATAAATGCCAAATTTGAGACCCACTTAGCTATTCTTTATTCATAAAATAAATATTAGCATACTTCTGTACTATTCATTTATTTGCTATTTTAAAGTCTAAAATGACTGTAATACTGCTAATACTAATATTAACCTAATGTGCTCATCAATGTGGTCCTGTTAGTTCCAAAAAAGCCTTGGCATTAATTTATTACCTGTATAAGAAAATTTGTTTAATACAGTTATTTGCTTTTCTTTGACAGCATCAGCTATGCTTGCACTTAAAATCCTTCTGAGCCTGGCTGGGTGTGGCTCAATAGTTGAGCTTTGACCATGAACCAAGAGATCATGGATCCATTACCAATGCACATGCCCGAGTTGTGGGCTCAGTCCCCAGTAGGAGGCATGCAGGAGACAGCTGATCAATGATTTTCCCTCATCACTGATGTTTCCATCTCTCTCCCTCTGCCTTCCTTTCTGAAATCAATACAAATATACAGTATCTTAAATAAATCCTTCTGAGTTTACAAGATAGGCACCACTTCCTCAGAAGCAGTCTTGAGACTATGATTATGACAGGGCCTTTGGTAGTGTTGTGAGGATCCTTGGGTGAGACTTTACAAATGAACAAGCAATGATAAAAGTACCCCTGATCAGTTTAGTTTGCATGGGGCTCACTCTGTTATAGCCCAATAGCACCTCAACAAAATCCAAATAAAATACCAAAACAAAATACTGTAGTTTAAAATGTTATTTCCTATAGTCACTTACAATAATAAAATAGCAAAAAAAAAAAAAAAAAAAAAAAAAAAAAAAACTCCAGTGGCTTGAATTACTGCTCTCCTGTGAATCTGCAGCTCCCATGGTCCCACACAGCCTAAAGGTATTGGGGTAGGAAATCCATTATGTCACCACTGAAACCAGAGGAGTATGTTTCCAAATAAGACTTACAGCACACCTTTTCCAAAACCCTGTTCTCTACTTACAACTCCTCTTTTGGTTTCCTGAATGTCAATCCTCTTAAATTCTGCATGTGCCTAAGGGCACCATCTTCTTTGAGGATTTCACCTCAGTGGCCTAATATTTCACTTTGGTACATGAGACTGTGGTTTTGTTCTTGACCTTTTGGAGTCTTGGCCATAATGTAGACAAAGAGAGTTTCATCTTAAATATCTTTACAAAAAGCCAATGTGCACATTCGCCCCAGCAGTCGCAGTTAAGGGCAAGGAAACCTTCAATCAGCTAAACAGAAATGCTGGTGCACATACAAAGCAGCCACTCAGCAACAATGCTGGGAGAAAAAAATGCTATAAAGATATTCAGGAGAAGAAGCAGATGGGAATAGGGCTGGCCAGCACATATGCAGACATAATTTGGGAAACAGGACAGAGGTTATAGCTAAGATGTAAGAAATCAAAGCCCACAACATATGCAGAAGGGTATACAATACCCAAGCCAGAGCAAAAAAGCAACCAGGCTCATTTTCTGAAAGGAGTATGTACTGTCGGATGTTTAAAAGGCATAAGAGTGGAGCAATGTGGCATTTTAATAGGGAGTTTGGGAAAGTGTTTACGATCTTAGATTTTGGAACCAATAGGGAAATAAATGGATTTTAATTTTTAATATACTTGCCAGCTGTTTGACTTTGAATAAGTGATAAAGCTTCACTTGGCCTCAGTATCCTCATCTACACAATGTGGGCCACGTGTGGCACCTGCCTGGGGAGTTTTTCCAAAGATGAAATGAGGCACTGTTCTTGTAACCATCTTATTGAATTAATTCTATTCCATCGATAGAATGCGATCGTTAAGCAATTTGATTTTAATCAAGCTGTCCCTTAAATCCCACATGGATAGGTAGTTCTTTCCTTTGGCTTGTTGGAAATTTTAAGCAAGTTCCATAGCTTTTTTGGGCCCCTCAATCTCAAGAAGGATCTCATTGTAGCTATAAATGTTCCAGTCCAGTGAAGTAACACTTCTGATTAGATTTAAGGTTCTCACCTCCCCAGCTCAGGGCTGCTTTAAGCATGGAAGCCTGCAGTGGGTGGGGCCTTGTTTCACTGCTGTTTCCTTTCATTTCCAGGCTTCTCTCTTCTATATTCCTCCAATTCCCAGGCCCCTCCCATGTCTGGCTGATGAGAAGAGATGAGGCATAGTGTTAAATGGCTTTTACTCTCTTGACCTGTGCTGGTGGTCCTGGGCTTACAGGACATTCCAAATTGCCTCCTCTCATGCGGCACAACTGTAATTGTGTCCAGGGACTCTCTTACAAGGCTCTCCAAATGTAGCTTGCTGAAAGCAGGCAAAGCTCCTCCCGGTTGATTGCAACTTCTTTTTCCAAGCCTTGAGTATCTGATGGGTCTGTTGTGCTCGGTCTCTTCATCCCCTGCTCCTACTCTAAGCAGCCTTTTCAAATGTGCTCTGGCCAGTTCTCTCCACTGAGTCCATGGGTAAATTCACACACTCATATATCCTTGACCAACATCCCACTTCAAGGACTGCTTCCCGCAAACACCCACCACCTGCTCTGCCAGACCAAGCATGGCCTCTCAGCTCTAGGTTCTCAGGCATATGTCCTATACTTGGACTCTATGTCCTCTAAATTACAGGACACATCTATTAATCTCTCTGAGTGGTTCCCTTGAAACATCTCTCAACTTGGAAGAAGGGACATACAACCAACAACTAAATAAATCCTCTTTCAACTCTTGGCCTTTAGTCTTCAAAGACATAACCATTCATACTGGCCTTACCTAATTTATAATCTTTTACAGCTCCTGCTTAGGTATTTTGCTTTAGGACATACGGCTCCTGCTAAATATCAAGCGTGTTCTAGTATTTAGACCTCCATCAAAATCTGTGACAAGAGGAAGAGACACTCATCCATCCTCCCACCTCACCTAGCATCCCACCTGACACATGAAGGTATGGAGATTCTGTATCACCTCCTTTTTTATACACCTGGGACCTTTGGTGAGCCATTTGAAATAAGTGAATCTAAGTTAAGAACTGAAATAATGTATTTCTTGTCAACTTTATAACTTTGTTTGAGAATAGCAAGAAACAAGTTGAATGAGCAAGTGCTTTATATATAAAAAAAAATCTACAGAGAAAACTGTAACCTATAATACTATTAAGACATGAAAATAGCAGTTTCATCAGAAATAGTGACTCCTTGGTATATTTTTCTTCCTATCGAATACATACTGCAAATCTGGTAAAGGAAGGACTAGTTTTCAATGACCATGAACAAGCGTCAGAGAGAAGGTTAATACCTTATTTAAGCATCATATATTAAACCTGAGGATTGACTACTATTAAGCATGGAATATGAGGAATGAATTTTGTGGTTCTTAGACCTCATACTTCCCTTCATCTTGCTTCCTCCAACAAACCAGAGGCCAAAAACATTTTCGTTTAGAATTGAAAAATAAATGTTTTTCAAAGTAAAACAACAACAACACACACACACACACACACACACACACACACACAGACACCCCCCCCCCCAAAAAAAAAAAACCTCTAAGTGCACACCAGGCAATGCCTGCTTTTCCCACTTGCTCTTGTCCTGACTACAGCCCTGTGCTCAAGAAAGCAAGGTTAAATTGGATTTGGGAAAGTGGGAGAGGGTGACTATTGATAGAGTTAGGTACCAGACTCAAGAGCTCTATCCATGTGTGAGCTAATGACCAAAGAGACAGCCTGGTGCAAAGGCAAGAGGGTGGGGTGGAAATTGAAAAAATCACCAGAATTCCCCTGAGAACTGTGCTGTTAGAAAAGAGCACAACTGAGCACAGAGATGCCAAGAGAGACTTCTGTGTGCTTGTATGAGAGAAAGAGAGAGAGAGAGAGAGAGAGAGAGAGAGAGAGAGAGAGAGAGAGAGAGAGAGAGAGAGAGAGAATGAAAGAGATTGTCTTGCTGTTTTGGTTCTTTTAAATTTTTTGGTACCATATCCAGGCAGTTATATCTTTATTATAAGTCCCCATTTTTCAGACTAAGTTATTACTCTGTCAATTGAACTACACAAGGAAGGGAGGTAACAGTCTGGCCCTGAAAAGCTAATTATTTCCATCATACTGGAGAACTGAGGCTCTTCTAGAAGCATTTCCAATTATAAGTGTAGATCTTCCTTCCCGTACCTGCCCTATTTCAAACTAGGCCAGCCTTTGAGGGCAGAATGTGATGGAAACCTAGTTTTTAAAACACATTCACATCTGTCCACATCAAATTACCAGCTCTTCAGGCCCCAAGACCATCCTATTAAGGTTAAATTGGGTCTTCAACTCGCCCAAAGCTCTTAGCATTGTAGGACACAATTTAGGGGTCTTTGTGAAGTTGAGTTCCTGCCTCATACTGATTGGGTAGAAGTCTAAATAGCCAAGCAGTAACCCACAAAAGCAGTTCAAATACAAATTACTGATGCAATGCAATGAATATTCTTTTTGTAACTGGGTGTACAAATATTATAAGGATATTAGCCTGTTTTAATTACTCACAACTCTGCTACCATAAGTACAAAAAGAATTGAAATCTAAGTCTTCCACTCCCTAACTAACTTTGAGAAAGTTGCTTAACCTCTAGGACAGTGGTCGACAAACTGAGTGTGGCTCAGTGTTAGAACCACTTCTTCAAAATAGACTCGCCCAGGCAGAAAACCAACTTCTGTGCATGGACCATGAAGTTTCCATCGCACTGTACATGCACGCCTGCACGTGGTATTTTGTGGAAGAGCCACACTCAAGGGGCCAAAGAGCCGCATGTGGCTCGCGAGCCGCAGTTTGCTGACCACTGCTCTAGGAGATCCTACCCATCTATAAAATCACATGGTAATTGTGAAGGTCAAAGCAGACACCTAGCAAGATGCCTCAGGTGCAGGAAAAGTATAACAACAGTAATCATTTCTTGAGCACTTGGGCTGAGTTAAGCGCTTCACTTGTTTTATCTCATTTTATTTTCCCAATAACCTTTTGAAGTATACACATTTAAGGTAAGGTCACTGAAGCACACAGTGACTAAATCACGTGCCTAAGTAACTTACATTGCTAAGAGGCTGGCACTAGCAAAGTGCTCCTCCCTTTATTTTTTCATTCTTCACAAAGGGGAAGATTCCAGTCTTAAAGAAATAAGCAGCCACTACTCACTTGGGATTCATCAATTCCAAATCTCCGATATGTTGAATTACACAGTTTTTTAATTTTTTCAGGACCCTCGATATCATAATCTTTGGGGTAAGCTTCTCTGTTGTGGTGCCTTAAGAAAAAAGTAAGAGTCTGTTAAGAGATAAAGCGTATTTATCATGTACTGCATTTAAACTTTAAAAATTATCCAATAAAAATTGACTATACTTGTGAAATTGTTTTAATTACAAATTTACTAGATTTATGACATATATTTTCTATCTCTTTTTTAATAATACTGAGTCTACTTCCTTAAAACAACTAGGTATATGTGGTAAAACTAATATCACAAAACAATAATTAGTAAGTAGCAATTATTCAGTAACTCCAATGAAGTGAATCTTATTTAATAATGTAGATTAGTTCTAAAATAAGACATGGTAATATCTTAGAAAGGCAACTTGCCACTTTAGAAATTTTTCCCACCATGAATTTTAATTATAATTTTTTTTTTTCAAAATGAGAGGGAACAGACAGTATTTGCTCATATGAATTTATAACATGTGCTCCTGTTTCTAAAGAGGGTCTAAAAGAAACTGACAATTAAACATAAGGTAGAAAAAAAAACAGTTCTTAAAACATGTAAATGAAACAAGAAAAATATTCCAAACATCTTGTCTAAAAGACTGGTTAGAAATAATAATAAGGGAGAAATTTGGGGATAGAGAAGAAAGAAGAAATGAAGTAGCCTGCAAGAGAAGTAGTTATTTTTATAAAGCTTTTGGGGTAAGATAAAGGAAGCTGAATCCAAGCACCCCTCAGAAGCGAACTTGCAATTAAGGGATTCAGAGATAGAATTGTATAATGGACACTGAAGTACCCAAAAATTTCTGTATCCATCTGTCCCTTCAATTGTCCCTTCATTCAGCATGTACTTTTAAGTACCTACTACATGCAAGGCATTTTGCTAGGTACAGGGGATGCAATAGAAAGCAAGCCTGATGTAGTCCCTGCCTTCACTTGCTCACAATATGGCAAGATCAACAGACAATTAAGAAAAATCTACAACATGCTGAGTGTGGTCACAGGGCTATGGAAACAGAAGAGCATCCATTCACCTAGATGGGGCACTTTAGGAACCAACCCTCATCTTGGCCTTTGTACTGCATTCAAATTACACCTTACCTCCCCACCTCTGAGAATTGGGAGCAGAATTATGCATAGAATACAACAGCTAAGAAGCTCAGATTAAAGTGGCAGAGCTCCAGCTCTCTTGCCTTCCTTACAACTGAGCATTAATTTTAAAAACACTAAAAGCATATTAGTACAATACCAGCATTTTTTGAGACTGACAGAAAGTTCTTAAGAAAGTCCTTAGTGAGTATATTGAACAACATCAAGAGCCTGGGGTGGTAGATGTAATAAGGCCATGAATTTGAGTCTTTGCTAAGCCAGTTCCTAGCTGTGTGACTTTAGGCAAGTTATTTTACCCTCTGTGCTTCATATGCAAAATGAGAACATAGACAAATACCAGTACCTTTTTAGATTTTTATTAGAATTAAAATGAAAAAAAATACAGAAGGTCCTTCAAATACTGTAAAGATCTATAAACATCTATGTATAGTGAATACTAATCAGGCTTCAAAAATTCTGGTATATAAAAATCACAACAATGATTAAACTCAATTTCCATAATTTGACAAATTGAATTAAACTTAATTTCCATAATTAAACTTAATTTCCATAATTTAACAAAGCTCTCATTTTCCAGTTGGAAAACATTAGCCTTGGTCAGTTCAGGAGTCCTTTTCACTCTAAAGGGTCCATGTGATTCCCCCATGCCAAGAATCCATCTTTGTTGTCATCCTCTCTTCTTGGTAGCATTTGTGGAAACATCCCCGTGTGGTTTTCTGTTATGGATCCATGCAGATCTCTGCTATGCCTTCCTGGTCCTGCCACACAGATGTTTGTATAGACTGGCAGTGAAATGCAAGGGTGCCACTCAGTAGTGTACCAAAAACTTTCTTGTGTCCCCCTCCACCCAGGGATTCTAGAAACTCAGATGTTGTCCCACCAAGTAGATAGGTGCTCCATGTCCCTACCATCCTGACCATGGTAGACACATAGGAGCCCTGTCCTTCAGACTGCTTTGCCAAGGCAGAGATAAGTCCCACCTGTTCTAGGACTTCCAAAGTCTTAATTCAAATTTGGAATCCTGAACAAATTCACATGTTCTCAACTTCTCCGCCTCCTCTGTCTTCAGTCCATAAACTCTTCATCTACTCTGGGACAGGACAGCACACCTTTTCATTTATTCTTCCAAATCTAGGTTTAAGGTCTAAGCTTTTGAACCCCAAATTCAAGAATTTGGCTGTGTTGCCTGCTGGATCTTCTTACCTGAAGCAATAAAACTAGATTATCTCCTTAAGAGCATAGGAATTAAGGGAGGAAAGCACTAACTATTGTAACTCTTCAATGTATTATTCCCAGAGCCCATCTCTTTATTGGGTACCTTAGGCACAGTGCCAGAACTTGTCATGCTTTTTAGGGGTCCCCAGAGTGTTTCAATTCTTTTTAAATAAGAAAAAGAAGAATGTAACCCAGTTGGAATTATATCCATATTTATACCAATGCAGTTATAAACTATAATTTTTAAAATATATTTTATTTATTTTTTTTACAAAGAGGAAGGGAGAGAGATAGAGAGCTAGAAATGTCGATGAGAGAGAAACATCGACCAGCCGCCTCCTGCACACCCCCCACTGGGGATGTGCCCGCAACCAAAGTATTGTACATGCCCCTGACCGGAATTGAACCTGGGACCCTTCAGTCCGCAGACTGATGCTCTACCGCTGAGCCAAACCGATTTCGGCCATAAACTATAATTTTTAACGTTTTTTTTTTTAAATATATATATCAATATATATATATAAAAGAGGGACCTATGAAGGCAAAGACAGTAAGTGTTCATGAAAGTCAGAATGCAGTTCTGATTGTCCCACCATATATTTTAAGTTGTATTATAACTGGATTATTACAAAAAATACAGTTATGTTTCTTTTCTTATAGCAATCTCAGTAACAGCCCAAAGCCCAGCATTGGAAAGATAAATCTATAATGAAAGTGTTTCTTTGGAGAACTGAGCTAATGCAATTAGCATTCCCTAATGCCTGTAGGCTGCCCGTGAAGAATGTGCCCACAGCCTGTAGCCTCCGAGGGATACACAACTGAAGGCTTAGACCTCCTCATATTTCTCCGAGGCTGCCAGCCTAGCCAAGAAAAATATATGTGCTTAAAAATTATAAAATACATAACATATAGTAATATATAATAAAAAATATCAAAAGTTTTATTAGATATACTATTATAAACATATTTTTAACATTTTATATTTTGAATACAATATATGTACTATATGCTAAATTTATATGTATTCTATATAAATATATTGTAATAATAATCAGGGTATTATAAAGGAAATGGCAGATTAAATTAATTCCCTGACTTTATATTATGTCAGGTGAACACTAGTGTTACTTAATGTTTGGGTTTATTTCCCTGAAATAAACTGAAAATCATATACTGAGGAAACAAATGAATCAATGCATTGAGAATCTCAAGTGAACAATAATGACATATAAAGGCAAAACATTATTATGTGTAATAATATTGTATCTATTTACAAAAGTTTTAGTTGGGTATTTTAAAATACTTTGTCAATACTAATTAAGCCTTACAGCATCTTCGTGAGACAAAAAATAATCAAGGTATAATAAATATAACCTTTATATAGCCTTGTTCTCCTTGCTACTTGCATTTATTTATGGCCACCATGCAATTTTGCATGACTTGTCATTTAACGCAATACAAAATTTATGAGGAAAAAACGAATTTAATAAAATGTACAATGTCTCTGGAACAGTAACTTTAAAAGTTTTTGACCACAGCCCCTGCCTGCCTTACTCCAACTCACCCTGAGACATTTGCCAATACTTGGAGTCATTTTTGATTGTTGCACCTGGGCGGGGAGGGTTGTTAATGGCATCTAAACATTAGTGCTGCTAAATATCCTACAATGCACAGGACAGCCCCTGCTCAAACAAGTAGCTGGCCTAAAATGTCAAAAGTGCTGTAGTTAAGAAAGCTCTAGCAAATAGTTGTATACCAGACTCAGATCAGTGGTTTCCAAACCTGAGTGTCTCATGGAGCAGCAAAACTTTCCCTCAATATATGTAGAATCAACATAAAATTGCCCACCATTGTCTTGACAAAAACATTAAAAATAAAATAACCATCTATCACCCTTAATAAAAAAAACCTCTCTCCCCAAAGACAGGTAAAAAATTATATGAGTCCTTTAAATGGAATGCATTTTATACAAAAACCTGTTAGATAACTTTACAGCCTATACATCACCTTGGATTAGTAAAAAGGTCATTGTTGACCAGCACTGTTCTACAGCCTCACTTTTGCAGATGTAAATTTGCCCAGACGTGTATTTGATAGCAGCTGGTCAGCAGTCAGTTCAAGGCCAAAGCAGCTTGAATACAGACATTCCATGCTGCTGACGGAATGAAGAGCTGTGTCTTTGGTGCCGGGCATTCAGGTACAGGCTGACATTCTTTCTGGAAGGAGAATGGCTTTCTGCCAGAAAAGCCAGAATATTCCACACAAGCAGCCTTGCTTCTGCTAAGGACCTTGTTCTATCAAGCCAAGAGCTCAATGCTTTGGCTATTCTTTGTATGAGAAATCTTTATGGAAAGACATTCATAATTATAAGAGATGAAACTTACTCTCTCTAGTCTACTGTGTGGGGGAGAGTATGAATATGAGTAGAATTAGGAATAAGGAAAGGGCTGACAGGACAGAATCAGAGCTGCCAACTGTATAGAAAAGAGCTTGGAACCATGACCCTGTTGTCAAAAATGCCACTTAGACTGATGTGAAGAGGGTCAAATTCAATAGAACCTAGAAGGGCAAAGACAGCTGAGTAGGTCCTATTCTGAACAAATGCCCAACTTATTCAGTTGGTATACAACTTTCCACCACCTGCTTTACAATCACCTAAACCCTGGAGATCCTGTTCTTCCTATCTCCTAGGGCCTAACATAGTCGTCCCAAGTCATGTCTTGT